TATTAAAATATATATAAATATATAAATATATATATATATATATATATATATATTATATTTATTAATATAAATTTATATATATATATAGATATAAATTATTAAAAAAATAAATAAATATTAATATATTAATTATAAAATTAATTTATAAATATTAAATATTTAATTAAAATATTTATATATATCTATTTTTACAAATAAAAAAAAAATTATTTAAATACATTTAAATTTAATTTTTAAAAAATATTAATTATAAAATGATATAATTATTAAATAATTAAATTTATAATTAATAATTAAAATATAATTTATATTTTAATATATATAATTTATTTATAATATTTTTTTTTATATATATTATTAGAAATATAAATATAATTTATTTAATAAAAATAATAAATTTTTAAATAAATAAAATAAAAAGAAATTTATAAAATATAAATATAATAATTATATAGATATTTTTGACTTAAAAAAACAAAATATATAATTTTTTAATTAATATATAATTTATAGTATTTAATTAAAAAAATATATTATTTAACAATTTTTAAAATAAATTAATTAAAATTTATAATATATACTTATTTTTATAAAATAAAAATAATTATAATATTTATATTTAATTAATTAATATATATTTGTAATTAATGAATACTATTAAATAAATTATTTTTAATATTTTTTTATTTAAATATATAATGAAATAATAAATATAAATATATATATACATATTTATATATTTATATATATTTTATATTTACAATATAAATATTATTTATTTATCATTTTTATTTTTTCTATATTTTTAATTTTTTTATATTTTTCTTTAAAAATTTAATAATTAATCCATTATTTTATTTCTAATATATTTTTATTTTTCTATTATCTTAAATACATTTTAATTAATATTAATAAATAATTTTATTATTAATTTATTAATATATGTATTTATTAATATATATTTTTGTTAAATAAATGAAATAATAAACAATTATGCCTTTTTTTTATAAAAATAGGGACTATCTTAATTTTTTTTTTCCTGATATAGAAAATATTAATATACCTGAACAATCTTAATATAATGTCTAAAGTTGTATAAATAAACTTAGAAACTAGCAATATTCTTAAAATAATAATACAATCGAAAACAACGACATTTAGTTTTTTTTAAATGTTTTTAAGAACGTGAACAATAAGTATTAAGTTTTTAATAAATAAAGTAGGAATATTTAAAATTTAATAATTTCGTAAATATATAATTTTAGGATTATTATTTGAAGTCTTACGAAAGTTATTCTTAATTTTTAAAAGATGAAAAAATCAGGTATTTTTAAGAAGAAAGTATTATAAAAAAATATTTTAGCATTAAACCTGATTAAGGAAATTTAAAGGCAGTTTTGTTAACTTTAATTAATTAAATTTTAGAATTCAATTAAAAAAATCTTAATTTATTATAAAAATAAAAGGATCTGGAGGAAGCTAATGAATTATATATACACAATAATTAGTTTAAAGATGAGATTTTTAAATATTTTTAATAAAACTAATTTCGTTTAGTTTCTATTATTATATTCGTGTGTAATTTTTCGAGATAAAGGTTTAATTTTTATTAATATAAACTTGAAGTATTAATTTTAAAGCATGAAAGTATATATAAAGATTATTAAAAGCAAAAATATTCTTTAATAAATTCTTATAAACAGCAACGTATTTAAGAATAAAAAATATTACCTAATTATCATTCTAATTGTAATTTATAATATAAAAAATAAAAATAAAGTGAAAATTTTTAAGAATATAATGAGTATTTTACTAAGAAAAAATCTAGTGAAAATACAGAAGAAAGCTTGAGAAAAAAATTTATGTTTTTTAAAAAAAATTCGAAATCAAAAGAAAAAATTAAAAGCGAAGTTTTAAGAAAATATTCTGAGTTAAAAAATAAATAAAATAAAAAAATAGAAAATACTTTAGAAAATAAATAATAAAAAAGGTTAAAAAAATTAAAAAAATTATATCTATGTATAATTATTAAACTATATTAAATAATAAAATATAATAATTGGATTATTTTTAAGTAGAAAAGTAAAACTAAATGTGTAGTTATATAGAAGAAACTTTTTTTCATTTAAATTATTAACAAGAATTAATATATAATGTTGAAAGTACAAAGGAAATAAAAAATTAATTAAAAAAAATGGAAATGGGATTTTTTAAGAAAAACGAACATATTAAAAATACAATAAAAAAATATAATGAATAATTTTAATAAAAAATTGAAAAAAAAATAAAGATAATAATAATAATGGTTAATTAAAAAATTTTTAATCATAATGTTTAATAACAAAAAATATAAAAAATCAAGAACATATAAAATATTAATAATAATAATAATAATAATAATAATAATAATAATAATAATAATTTTATTAATAAGAAAATAATATTAAATATAAAATTTTTGCTAATAGGTTAAAATATTGCTAATCTGCTAATATTATTAAATAAAAAGAAATTTTTTTAATTAAATAATAATACTTTGAAAGATGCTAATAAATAAGAAAACAAATATATTGTAAACACTCAGAACTCTAAAAATGATAATTGTAAAATTAACATTTATTAAAAAAATGTTGATTTAAATATATCTTTTGATTAATATAATAAGAATTAATAAAAAAATATAATTTATAACAATAATATTTCTAATTTTTTTAAAAATAAAAAATAAAAATTTTATAAAAAGTCAAATGATAGTAATTTTAACTTTTAATAAAAATTTATTAGTGTTGATAGGTTTTAAAATAAATATTAATCAGATAATTTAAATTTTTTGAATAATTTAGACAACTAAAATAATTTGAATATAAATTTTAAATTAAAATTTACATAAAAATGAAAATTAAATGTAATTTTTTTAAATTTTTTTTTTTTAAAAAAAAAAAAATGTAAAAAATAATTAATTTTTTTTTAAAAAAATATAAATGTTGTTTTGTGAAAATACATAAATATTTATTTTAATTTTATTTTTATTTCTTTTTATATTCAAAATGTAATATTCTAATTTATTATTAAGTAAATTATTTATTAAAAATATTTTTTTTTTTATATGAAAATTTATACATAATTAATTCTTAATAATTACTTATTTATTATAAATTTTCTTTTTTTTTTAGTAAAAATTTAAAAGTTAATTCAGATAATTTTTTATATTTATTAATTCATTATTTTTATTGTTTTTATTTTATTATTTTTTATTTATTATGCTAAATTATAGAATTATTGTTTATATTAATTTCCTTATATTGAGATGATTTAAAGCTTTTTACATTCTATGTTTAAATTAATTTACTTTGAATATTTTTTATTTTTCTAAAGGTTATGTATATTGTTTTTCTTGTTTTTCATTATATCCAGATATATTTTATTAAATGTTTTATTAAATAATCTATGTATTATATTATTAATTTATATCATATTTAATTTATTTAATTAAATCATTTTCTAATTTCAAATCTTTATTTTATTTAACTTATTATTTTAAGCTTTTTACGATATTTTTGTATTTTTCTTTTAATCTTAATATAATTAAAAAAAAAAATATCATAAAAATTTATAAAAAGAAATATATACTTTTTTTATTTACTCCATATATTTTTATTGTTTTTCTTAAATTTATTATTATTATTTTTTATTCAAAACTTCGGTTTCTTTGATTTTCTAAATTAATATTTAGTTTATTTCTCGTAATCGAATATTTAAATTATCAGTCATTTGAACTTTTTTATTTTCATTTTTTTATTTTAATTGTTTTTTCAATTATTAATTTTCTTTCTAATTTATATTTTAATAATATGTATTAAATATTTATATTTATATATATATATATATATTTATATTTATATATTTATTTATATATTATTAACTTATAAAAATTTTATCAATTCATTTTTCTATTAAAATTCATTATGTATATTTTACAATTATATTTTAGTTAATTATTAATTTAAATTTATATTTTATTTAGAAAAACTTTGATTTTAATTTTAACTTTCTTACTTTTCTATTTAAATATTTTATATTTCATTTTCTAATTTTTTGTTTTGTTTTATTTTTTTTAAATTTAATTAAAAATATTTAATTATATGTTTTTACATTAAACACTATTTTATTTAGATTAATCAATACTAAAACTAAATGATAAATTATATTCACTTCCTAAATCATTTAATGTTAATTATTTAATTGTTTAAATATATTTATTTTATTTATCTTCTGTTTCATTTATTTCATTAAATTAATTAAAAAAATTTACATTTTTTAACTCACTTGATTAATTACTTTTAAATGCGTTTTAACTGTTATTTGTTTGCTGTTCGATTTTACTATTTTTACTAATATTTATTGAAGATCTTGAATTACTTTTTATTTTTTAAGAATATATAAGTATTTTTTTTAAATTTACTTTTTATTGTTTTATCTATACTTTCAATTTAATTTTTGCTTTTAATAGAACTTGTATTAGCACTTTCTTTTTTTTTTATAAAAATATATAAATAAATAGATTATTAAAAATTTAAAAATACCTCTTTCATTAAAATCGTCGCTTTCATTTAAAAGATTATTTTAGGATTAAAACTAATTATTAAAATTTAAAAATTAAATGATATTTGCATTATTTAAGGAATTATTTAACTAATTCATTTTAGTATTTTTTTTTAATATTATTTATATATTATAATTAGAAAATAATTATTTTTATAATAGAAAAACAAAATAAATTGAATTAAAATAAAAATTATTAAATATTTTATAAATTAAATTATATATAATTTTAAATATATAAATACATATATTTAAAATAAATATATATATATATATATATATATATATATAAATATATATATGTATAATATTATATTTTTTTTTAATTAAAAAAATTATATAAAAATACATTATTTTTTAATTAAAAAGTATATAGAAGTATTAAATATCTCATTTATTCAAATAATCTATAAAATTTAAATATAAATATGAAATTTTTTTGTTTTATTACTTAATCTTCTATCAATATCTCTTTTGACAATTTCTAAACTATTAATATCTAATTCTTTAATAAGAGAAAGAACTGCTATAACAATATTTGAATTTTTATTTTCATTTTCATATATGTTTTTATTTTACAACTAAAATAAATAAATAAAAAAATTAATTAAAATATAAAAAAAATAAAAAATACCATTTAGTTTTATTTTCATATTATTAATTATTTATAATATTCTTGTTTTAAATTTATTAATTAACCTCCCTTTCTTCCTATAGTCATCTTTTTTAAAATGCTAATTAATCTATTTTTTCTTTTCTTCTTATCCATATCTTTTCTAAATTTATTAATATTAAAACGCTTATTAATCAATTTATTATTAATAATTTCTCTAATTATTTTAAGGAGATACATCATAACTATTTAAATTTATTAGTTATCATTTTTAGGCCCAATAAAATAGATATCTATAGATTAGGCTTAATTAATTTCGCCTTAAGTAATTGGAGTATTATCTAATTTCTCAAGATTTGGTAAAGATTTAATTATTATTTCTCTATAATTAGGAATTGTAGCACAAGGATTATCACAAAGCCATAATACTTTAAGTTCTGGTAAATCTACTAAATGCCTTATTTCTGAAATTTCAGAAATGTTATTTTTACGTAGATATAATTCTTTTATTTTAAAACAACTTTTGATATCTTTTAATGTATCTATTTAGTTTACAGATAATGATAAAACTTCTAAATTAGGCATTTAACTTAATACTCTTAAATCATCTATTTCTTAACCCCAAAGATTTAGACTTTTTACAAGATGAATTGCCTCAGTTTTTGCTTTTTATTTTATTAATTCGGCAGTTAATGGTTTTCCCATTTTTTATTTATATTTTAAAAGGATAAAATTTGTATATTAATTAATTTTTGTTTTGTATTATAATTGATTATATTTAATTTTAAATAGTTATATATAAAATCAAAGGATTAGTTTGATTTTTAAATGAGTATTATTTTATTTATTTTTTTAAAAAAAAAACATTTATACTTAATTTTATATATATATATAATAATAAAATAATGTGATAAATATTCAATTTTTTTTTTTAAAAAAAAAGTTTATTAATTCTTATAGAATATATCCAATTAAAATATATATATATATATATATTAATAGATTGAATAATATATATTGATATATATATATATATATGTATAAATATATATATTTATTTATTTATATATATAAATTATTTTTGTGTTTAATTTATTTTATATTTTTATTTTTTATAATAAATTTATATACCTTTTTAATTAAATAAATATTTTACATATTTTATATTCTTTACATTTTATTTTTTTTATAATTTTTTATAATCTTTTTATATATTTTGTATTATTTTATATTTTATAATATTTTTGAAACTTTTTTTTAAATTTATATTTAATATATTTTTTTTTTTATTTAAAATAATATTTATATTCTCTGTTAATTATATTATTTTTTTTATATTAAAATATATTAAAAATACATTTATATATATAATAAATAATAATTGAACTTAAAAAATTTTAATTTAATTAAAAATATATTAAATAAATTAATTTATTTTTTATTATATAAAATAAATATATTTAAGTTTTTTTTTTTTTTCTATATATATGTTTCTTATTCAATAAATATTCTCAACAATTGTTTTAATCAATAATTTTATCAAATTATTATTTTTTCGTTTAAAAATTTATGTTTTACTATTTTTTAAATTTTTAATTCTTTTTATATTAATTTTAAAATTTCATTAAATATTTTTTATAATTTTAAAAAGTTTATTTTTTTTAGTTTATATTATTTAATTCTTTTGTTTTAAATAATATTTAAATAACTCTTTAATTAAAAAATATTATAATATATTTTATGAAATATTTATATAAAATAGATATTTTATTTTTATTTTAAGCATACATAAGCATCAATAATTTAATAATTAAGATAATTTATTATAATTAAAATAAAAAATTATAATTTATTACTATTTTTTACATAATATTATACCAAATATATTTTTTTACAATTTCAAAGTTACTTAGATTCCATTAGTTTATAAGAAAAAGACTATTTAATCAATAAAATTTAGTAATTATTTGTTTTTTAATGATTTCTATATATATTTTTAATAATTTTATTAAAAATAAAATTTATAAAAATAGAATTATTTTAATTAAAATTACAAAAAATACCATTAAATTGTTATTTCATATTTTTAATTTATTAATATCTCAAACATTTATATTTTTTGAAATTTATTACTATAAAAATGTTAATTAATTTATATTTTACTTCATTTACTTATGTTTTCTAAATTAATCAATATTAAAAAGTTTATTAATAGAATATTTAATTATTTAAAAAGTTTATTTAAATATTATTATTAATTTATTGTATAAAATGAATATCTAATGATTAATTTAATTTGTTTTATTTTTAGTAATTGATTTATTTATCAATCTTTTCAATATTTGCTTGGTAAACATTTTTTTTTTCTATAATTAGATAAAAGTTATAAACTAAATAAATATCTCTTTTTTCTAAAATTTCAGAAGTTATATTATATAAAGTAATAATTCTTTTGTTTTCTTATAATTTTTGATATATTTAAAGTTTCGATATTTGATTCTTTAACTAGATAAGCATAATATATCCAAAACAATAGTTTGATATAATAAATGAAAATCGAATATTCGTTAAATACAAATATTAGGCTTTTTAATAGGATGGAATACATTAATTTTTCAATATATTTTAAGAAGTAAATTGCTTTATTTTTAATTTTAATTTAAAATTGATTTTTTATTTTTAAATTTTAAATAAATTTTTTATATTTTTTTTTCATTTTTTTTTTGAAGAAATTTTTTTAAAAAAAATAAAAATAAATAATCAATATTTTAATTATGTTTAAATTAGCCTTAAAAAAAAAATTAGAATAAATCAATTAGAAAACAAAAAAAACAAACAAAATAAACTAAACTAAAAAATTAGTGTTTATTTAAAATATATATATATTTTTTTAAAGTTAAAAAATATAATTATTTATTGAAAATAAAAAATAAAAACATATAATATTCAATATTTTAGAAGGTTAAAATTATTATATTATATTATTTTAAACTAAAAAAAATATATTAAAATTATAATAATATTAAAAAAAATGATTTTATTTATTTAAATATATATTTTGATAAACTTTTTTTTAACAAATAATTTTTAAATAATAAACTTGTTTTTTTTAAATAATTAAATATGATTTAAAAAATTTTTATTTTATTTAATTATTAAACTAATATATTTAAAATAATTTTTATTTATAAAATTGAAAAAAAAAATGAATTTTTAAAAAAACTTGAATTGTATATAATATTATTTTTTTATACAAATAATAATTATTTAAATATAAATAAAAAAAAAAGAATATTTGAAAAAAAAAAAAATTATTATTAGATTTATAATTAAAAAGTTTATTAATAAATTGTCTTTATTATTTATACAATTTTAAATTTAAATTATTTGTAAAAAACTGTTAAAAAAATAATAAATATATTATAATTAATAAAAAATTAGTTTGTTTTGAATTTTTAAAAAGAAAATAAAATAAAATATATAACAAATTATCTATAGTATATGAAAAATGTAAAAAAAAAAATGTAAAAAATATATATATATAATAAATATAATATATATAAATATATATATATATATTTTATTAAAGATATAAATTTATTTGTACATTAGTATTTTTTAATATGAAATTTCCAAAATAGAAATATTAAATTTATCAAAATAAATTAAAATTATTTATTTATTAAATTTAACTTTTAAAAATATATTAAGATGTAAAATTAATTTTTATTAATAATAATTTATAATAATTATTAAAATAATTGTATAACTAAAAAAAAAAAATTAACAAATAATATTTTTTAAAGAATTAATATTATTTTAAAGTTTTATTTTTTTTGTTATTTGTTTTTATTTTTATTTGTAAAATGTTTTAATATATATGTATATATTTAATTATTTAAAAATCAAATATTTATGAAAGAATTCTTTTTTTAATGTTATATATATAATTTAATCTTATATTATTGTAATACTTATAAAACTATATGTATATTTTTTACCAAATGATATAATTATAATAAACCCTTTTTTATTTTTTAAAAAAATATACTTTATATAATAAAAAAAAAAAAAAAAAAATAGTATAAAATAAAAAAAACAAACAAAATATATCTATATGGTTAATTTAAAAAATTAAATTATAGAAAATTAACATAAATTTGATGCCAGCATATTTTTTATGAAATTTTCTAACGAAATAGAAAACGAGAAATATTAAGATTAATAAAACAATATAATAAAGAAGAGACTTTTATTTAAATAAGTTTTATTTTTTATGTTTTTATAAATTTCAGTAGGATTTGGAATAGTATTTTTGTTTGGTTTAATATATATTGGTATAGCTTAAATAATAACTGGTTTTTTTTTCGGATTGTTCCTTATATTTATAAGAAATAATAATGAAGCTTTTATGAATGTGCTTTTATTGTATGCTTTATTAAATAATATTTAGTTGACTTTAAGTTAAAATAAAATCGAAAATGAGATAAATATATGTAATTATTGTAGTATTTTTGGAATTTATTTTAGTTTTTTTTAAATTATGTAGATAATATTTTTTAATTGCTGGTATTAGAAATCTTTAGTTATGATATTTTTTTTAATTGGGATATTTTTAAATGTAAAAAATGATTAGTTTTTTATAATTTTTATTTGTATTTTTTTAATTATTATAATCACTATTGGATTTTATTTTAGTGAGAAATGCGAGAAATTCATGTTTCATTAAACTTTTTGTGAATAATAATAGATGCTTTTATATTTAAATACCATTTAGTATTTTATTCCTAATGAAGTGGCAGTTATTAAGAGAAAAAAAAAAGAGGAAAGTATAAAAAAATATGAAAAATAATAATAAATTTAAATTTAATAAAAAAATAAAGAGTTACATTCAATTAGTAAATGTAAAAAAAATAATTCTTAAATATAAAATAAAAACATATATAATAAAGAAAATACAAAAAATATAAATTTAACAACTATTAATTAAAATAAATAATAAGAAATAACCGAACAAAAACTAACTTAAAATCAAAACGTTTACTCTACGGCTATAAATTGGGTCGATTATCCGTCCTATAATAATTTCGAGGATGAAAAAAACAAGAAAAATTTAAAAGATTATGATTTTTATTTCAAAAATGAGAAATTTAGAAATACTTTTTCCAATAAAGAATCTGATATTATTGACAGATTTAAAAATATTAATAAATAAAATAGGTCTTTACATAATATTATAATGTAAATTTTATACAAAAATGATATTAATGACGAATAAAGTGAATAAAGTGATGAAGATGATAAATTTAAATAATAAAAGAAATACCAAAAACATGAATTTAAATAGTTTTATGATAAAACAAAGAACGTATTTTTTGATATATTATTAATAGAAATTTAAAGTAAATAATCATAAAAAATAATAGTCATTTTAAAGATGCGAATGACAGTGTTTAAAATTAATTATTATAAGAAACTTAAAAATTGAATGATTTAAAATTTGCATCTATTACACATGATTTAAGGAACCCTTTGAATTTTATTTAATTGACTATATAGAAATGTATGGAAGAAGATAATTATAATTACTTTAAGTAATATTTTCCAATGGTTATTACTAATTGTGAATTATTAATGAACTTAATAAATGATATTTTGGATCATTAATAGATAATTGCAGGGCGATTTAGAATTACTCCGAGTGTTTTTTAGTTTGATGAGTTACTTTAGTAAATTTATAGTCTTTTTTAAATATAATGTAAAGAAAAAAACATTCAGTTTATTTTAAAAAGAAATAAAAATCTTACTATAAATTCAGATAAAAATCGAATAAAATAAGTCCTTATTAACTTTATTTCGAATTCTATAAAATTCACCAAAAATGGAAAAATATAGCTCAAAACGAATCTTTCGAAAGATAAAACACTTCTCTCAATAAGTATTAGGGATACTGGAAGTGGAATACCAAAGGAAGTTTAGGAAAAACTTTTTTAGCCTTTTTCTACTTTCGATAATATGTTTGGAAATAATAGAAATGGTAAATATATATATATATATATATATATATTATATACTAGCTTATATATATATATTCTTTAAATAGGTGTTGGCTTAGGATTATGTATGTGTTAAAATTTAGTTAGTTAATTAGGTCCTTATAAGAAGATTTTTTTAGAATCTCATATTGGTAAAGGTACGAAATTTACTTTTATAATATATATAAATTTAAGTATGGATTAAACTTCTAGAATAAATTCGTGTAAAAGTTAAGAATATGTATATGATAAATATTTTGAATAATTCGGAAGTTTAAATTCTTCTTTATAGTCTAGTTATGAGGATAAAAGTGTATACTAGAATTAATTTTAGGAAGAAACCGAAACTGAGAATTAAAATAGTGTAAGTAATCGAGTAAGAAGTCATTCTATGACTAATTTAAAGAATTTGTATTAATTTGGATATTAATAAAAATAAAGAAAAGATTAAAATAATTTACATAGAAAAAGCATTTTTGTGGCTAATATAGGAGGTACTAATAATGGCTTTAAAGAGAATAATTCACAAATTAACAATTAAATAATTTCAAAGTTTAAAAATCTATTAATTGTAGATGATGAGATTTTTAATAAGATCGCTCTTTAATAATTACTTTTAAAAGAATATAAAATCGAAATATAAACAGCTTCTGATGGTTTAGAAGCTTTTAGAATATATAAAAATAGTTAATTCAATTTAATTATTATGGATATATAAATGCCAGTAATGGGAGGTTATGAATCTATTTAATTAATAAGGAAATTCGAAAAAGAAAACTAATTAAAATAAAGTGTAATTATTGTCAGTAGTGCTAATTGTAATGAAGAAGATATTTAATTAAGTTTAGAATATGGAGCTAATTATCATATAAGTAAACCTGTGGATATTAATATATTATTTTAAGCTTTGGAATAAGTGAAAATATGAGAGAGAAAAATAAAATAAAATATATATATTAATAATATATATTTATTTAATCAAATTGGTCTATTTTTTCTTAACATATTTAATTTTTAATATATTTTTTAAGCTGTAATAGGATCATTATTTTTAAGAAGCCATATTTTAGAAGAGTTTTTTTCCCTAAATTCCACAAAAATAGTATCCCAGGAAATAATTTTTAAATCTAGAATATCATTTATATATTTTTACGGACTTTTAGTAATATTGTCCGATTAAGGGATAAAAAAGCAAAATAAAATTTAAATAAAGGCCAAATTCTTATTATCTGTATATTTTTTATTATATATAATATTCTCATCTATCCCAATAAGTCTTTTACCCTATTTTTTACTTTTCTAGTTGATTTTTATTACTTAAAATTCCTCATATTTATTCAAATTATCCATATCAAATAACATCCAAGGCTAAATGTATTTGTTATTGGAATTTTCCTCATCTTCTTCATCATTTTCACTTGAACTACTTGAGTTATGGTTTATATATTAACGGCTATTTTAATTTAAATCGTTTTATTGTTTAAAATTATATTATTAATTTTATTATTAATTTTATTATTATTAGGATTTTTATAAATAGTAATTTTGTTAGTCTTCGAAGACTTTTTTTTTTATTATTAATTATTTTTCTTTTATTATTTATAAAGGCATTTCTAAGTCTAAGTTTACGAAACCTTCGTTTTCATTTATTGTACCTAAAATATGGAAATCGGTTTTATTTACGTCTATTTTTTTAGGTATTGATTAATATATGTCCTTTACTTTTAAGTTTTTCCCGATTTTTATTATAGATTGGAAATCTTTCTCTTAATATTTTATTTTAAATACTAATTTATCGGCTTTATTATACACTTCTTCGAATAATTTTAAGTCATTATAACTATCTAATTCTATTTAATTGTCAGTGTTGTTGTTTATTAACTGACTATTGTTAATATTGTCATTATTATTGACAAAGCATTCCTCTTTTTCAACAAAACAACATACAGAATCTATATCGGTATGAATAATTAACATATCTTTCGATAATTCAGGCATATTAATAAAATCAGCCTTGTAAAAAAGACTGTCCTTATCACCTAAATTAGGTCTGAGTTCATATATCTCTATATTTTCGTGTATTTATATATTTTATAGTTTAGATGTATATTAAGTTGAATCAATTATAAAATTAATAAATTCACCAATAGAAGTTGTAGAAGTATTAATATTAAAATCTAAAAATAAAGTTTTATCATTGAAAAAATAAACACGAATTTGTTTAAATGTATTTTTATCGTAATCTCCTAAAGTAAAAATTTAATCGTCATCTATATATACATAATTAAAACATATATATATATATATATATATATGTATATATATATATATACATAATTATTTTCATATATATTTAAATTTTTTTTTTTTTTTTACTTTTTTTAGTTATTTTTTCGAGTTTTAATTAAGATTTTTTTAAAATTTAAAACTGTGATTCAATTACTTAAATAGGTATTTCTTTAAATTCTAATCCATTATTTTATTTTTAGTTTTCTTTCTCATTTTTTGAAGAATTAGATGATGATTAATATTCTGAAGATGTTTCTATCAATTAACTTTGACTTTTTTTTTTTACAATTTCTATTTTACATTCTTGACAGTCTTAATCTATAACTTGTTTTCCATTTTATTAATGATTATGTATTGTTTGTTCATTTTTTAGAAATATAAGGCTTTTATTTTGTATTTTTTCTTATAATTTTTTATCTATTAGGACTGTATTAGACCTTCCTAATTTTTATTTATTTTAAATATTTTTTGCTTCTTTTTATTCTATTATATCATGTTTAGATTACACTGGTTCTTCTTAAATGATTTCATTATTATTATAAGAATTAAATGAACTTATTTTTTATTATTGATTATTTTTTTCGAGTGTTTTTTTATAAAACAAAGTAGAAATAGACTTAACTCTTGCCGGGGAAATTAATATTTTCTAATCTTAGATCTAATCAGGACTCTAATCTTTTATTATTAGACTTTCATTGTTGTTTTTTTGGCTTTCTTTGTTTATTCGAATACATGTGTGTTTATTTTATTAAGAAGTTAATAATAATTATTTCGAATTTTTCTAATTGTTTAATATTTGGCTTATTTCAGATACTATATCTTCAGTTGTTGGTATATATTAATCACTAAATAATAAATTTTAAAAGTCTAATTTTAAATCATTTAATACAAATTGACTTTTTGATTATTAATTATGGATTGGATATTGGCATTATTATGTGTTTTATATTTAATTGTTAGACTCTATTTCAAATGATTTGTGATTTTCGAATTGTTTTTATTATATAGAGTCAGTTTAGGAAGAAGATGAATTCGAAAAAATCTCGTTTTGTGTTTTTTATTATGTAATTAATTAGAGTTATTGGAAGCCTTCCATTTTTATGAATTTTTTATGTTTTTTATGATTTTTTTTGTTTTTTTTTGTTTTTTTTGATTTTTTTTTTTATTTTGTTTGTTTTATATATATATATATATATATATTTATTTTTTTAAAAAAAAAAAGTTTTTTAATGTAATAATTTTATATTTTTATGGTTATATGTATTTATTTATGTTTTTATTTTATAAAGTTGGCTTTTTAAAGGTTATTTAAATTTAATATTAATTTTATTTTTTTATTTTAATTTAATTTATTTTTTTTCCCTTTACTTTTTTATTTTTAAATAAAAATAATGTAATTTTAATAATATAAATTTATTATTATTATATATATATATTTATATTCTTTTTTTTTATTTTTTTAAATACTATATATATATAAATATTTAAATCAATATTATATTTTTTCCTTATAAAGTCCATTTAAATTATTCTTTTTATTTATTTTCATTTAGCATTAATCTAAATGGTCGTTCTCTTGTTTGTACTAATTAATACTTTCTTAATTTTGAATTGTCAATCAATTTTTTAACAGATCCTTCTATTGGGCATAATAATAATTTCTTTTAAAGTATCAGGATATGCTTTTTAAAGAAAGTATTATGTGTGAATATTTTAGAAGATAAACATTTTAACATATATATTCTTTTGATAATAGTCTTCGTTTTTAATATGATAATTTATTTTATTTTAAATTAAACTTTTACTTTTTTTTTAATTTAATTATTATATATAATATTTATTAACATTATTTTATTAAAATTTATGTTAAAAAAATAAAAGAAATAATTATTAATTATATTAATTAAGTATAATTAGTATTTAATTATAAAATATTCAGGATATGAGTTAATATTATTATTATTATTATTATTATTATTATTATTATTATTAATATTATTATTTTATTAATAAAATTATTAATTTTTATATTATTAATATTTAATTTTTTTTTTTCTTTTAAACATTTTTATTTTCAATATTTTTATCTTTTTCCTATTTTTTTTTTTTACTTATTCATTCTATTTTGATATATTTATTAATATTTCTATTATTTTTAATATTATTTACTATCTTATATTTTTTCAATTACATTTCAATTTTTTAGTTTATTAGAACAAAACTATTTTCTTATAAATATTATTTAAACTTAATTAAATATTTTAATAATTAAAACTATTTATTCTTATTTTTATTATCATATATTTTAATCCGGATTCATATTTATTTGGTATTTTTCTTAATTTAATTTCTATTAAAATTTTATTTATGATTATTATAATTTATTTTGTAATTTATTTCTTTTATTCCTTTAGATATTTATATTTATTTTTAAAAATTCAATTTGATTATATAATAATTACTTTCTATTTTTTTTTAACTACTATATAAATCAATTTTGCTCATATTTTTAGTTTTATTTTTCTTCATAAGGTTAATTTTAATATAATATTTATTTTTTTATATTATTTTTATTAAAATAGATATATAATATATATATTTATTATTATAATAAAATAGTTAAATAGTTTATTTATTTTAAAAGTTCGACATTTTTTATCAAATAATAATTATCAATTTTATATATAGATCTACTAAATATATCTATATTAAATTATAAATATTTAATATATCGAATAAGAATTTACAATATAAATTATTTTTTTATAATTAATTATAATATAAATATGTATTATATATAAATATTTAATAAAAATATTTACAATATACTTTAATTATTGAAAATTTTTTTTTTTTTTGGTTTTTTGTTAAAATATATATATAGCCTTAATATTTTAAAATTTCAATTCTATTATTATTATTAATTTAAGTCTATATTTTCAAAATTACACTATATATTCTAGGAATTATATTATTTATTTGATTTAAATATATATTATTATAAATATTAGTTTTTATTATCTTATTATTAACTATAATTATCTTCTTTTTAATCTTAAAAACACTATTTTTAGATTAATTTATTAAATGTATTTTCGTTTTATTTTTATAATTAATTTTCGATTATTTATTATTCAATTTATATTTTATCATTAATTTAAAAATTTTAGTTTTATATTTAGATTTTGTCTTTTAAAAATTATTATTAGTTAGATATTTAATTTTGGTTTATATTTTATTTATTAGAATCTAATTCTTTATTTTATTATTTTTACAAAATTTATTAATAAATATTATTATAGTCTTCGACTTATTTATAAATGTTAATTTTTTCTTTAAAAAGTTAATCAGGTTCTTTATTTTAATTATTATAATTATCATTTACATTATTAATATAATTATTTTCATTGATATAGTCATTATTTTCAATATTTTAATTGTTATTTTATTAAATAAAAATATATTGTTCCTTTTCTTTAGTTAAAATTAAGTCTTACTATTAATTATATGCTTAATCTTATTATGAGTTATTATCTGAATTTATTTATTAATTAAATAAATTATCTTATTATTAATTAAATAATTTATTTTATTTTTCGTTTATTAAATTTATATTACCCTAACTAAAATCTTAATTAATTTAAATTTCTTATTATTCATCATTTTTATATAAAAATTATTAGTTAATAATTTTTTATTATTAAAAATAAAAATATTAAAGTTATTATAAAGAATAAAGATTATTATCATAAATATTTTATTATTAATTATTTTCTTTTTCTTCCTCTTCTTCATCTTCATAATCATCACTATTATTATTATCATTATTATTATCACTATTATTAAAATCATTATTATCATTATTATCATTAATATTATTATTATTATTATTATTATTATTATTATTATTATTATTATTATAATTTTAACTTATTTAATTCATTAAATTATCAATTTTAAACTCTTCTTCTTCCCCATTAAAAATTTCATTTTATTCAATATTTTATTATTAATTTCTTCTCCATAAAAAGAAAATATTGATCTTTTACAATATACTCTAGTACAAATTTTTCAAAATATTCCATAATTATTACTATTCTAAAGAAAAATTTTCAATTTCTTTTCTACAAATTGGACATTTTTATTAATTTTAAAACTTTAGCCATTTAAATAGACATTTAATATGGAAAAAATGGCCACAAGACTTTATTTTTCTTGCAAAAGTTAGCGTTTCATGGCATATAGAGCATATATCATTTTAATTTTCATCCGAAATTTTTGGGAAAGCCAAATCGAGGTTATTTTAAATATTTTTGAAGACTAAAATTTCCTTTAAATTGCCCAATATATGCATCAAAGGTCTTTAAATTTTAATAAGTAAAAAGCCTACCCACATTTAATTTATGTGTATTATATTTTAAAATTTCTATATATATAAGATTACTAATAGAAAGTAATAAAAAAGGTAAATTAATTAATATAATATTGAAAAAAGGTTTCTTTTGATTAAAAAGGGCTCCTATATATCATCTATATTTGAAATACTATAAAAAGTAAGATTTTTTATTAAACTTTTAGCATATAAAAATATATAGGATGATTTTATTAATATAGAAAGATGTAAAAGTATTAAAAGTAAAAGCCTAAAAAAAGTACAAGTATGGAAAAAACGGAGGATTAAATAAAATTAAATAGATGAAATTAACAATATTACTTTAGAGAACTTTTCTATTTATTTTATTTGGTATTTAATTTAGGAAGCATTTTCATTTTCAATATTATTTTCGGCTAATTTCTATACTAAGTCTTTTAGATTTTAAGCCGGAATTAATAAATAGGCTTTTTGGATGGCAAAACAAAAATATATAATAAACCAAATGCATAAGTCGAATTTATGAGGGATCATTTTTTCGTTTATTATGTGAATTATGCATACATTTAAAATTGGGTTATTGTTTATAAAAACTTTTAGTAGTTATTTTTTATCCTCGAGGTTATTTTATTATATATTATGGGAAAATATTTTACTGTAGATATTTTATATAATTATAAACTAAAGGAAACTTATTAATAATGTAAATGTTATTATAAGAGATATACTATTCTATATATATATATATATATATATATATATATATATATATATATAATTATTTTGTTTACTTAATTATAAGCTAAGAAATCAAGAATTTTAATTATTTTTATGTCGGTTTTTTTAAATTCAATAGTTATATGAATAATTTAATATATGAAAAATAATAAAATAGATATTAATATCAGAAATTAAATACCAATAAGTTTAAAAAAATTAGATTTAATATATAAAATTAAATTTAAATATTTTTCGAGATATTTTTGTACTAAAACTAGTTTTTTTGTATTTATTATTAGATAAGATTCCTATAATATTTTAAATAGAATTAATTATATATATTTAATGAGCATAAAATTTAAATTAAATTATTTATTTCCAAATAGTTTATATTCTTTATATTATAAGAAAAATATATATATATATATAAATTATTATATAAAAAAAATATTAAAACATAATTAAAAATTATTTATATTAAAATAATATAAAAAATTATATAAATAAAAATAATAAAAAAACATATATTATAAAAAAATTATAATAAATATATATATATATATATATATATATATATATATATATATATATATATATATATATAAATTTTTAACTTAGTTTTCATCAATTTCTTTTCTTAATTTTTATAAATAATTATTTATAGTTTATAGTTTTTGAAATTCGGGAGTATTATTGAAGTTTTTTATTATTTAATCATTTAATATATTTTCAAATATTTCATTTAAAATTGTTATTTTAGTAATAATTTCCTCTTTTTGAATTTTAATGTCAGTTTTTTTTTTTTTTTTTTTTTTTATTTCTATTTATTTGTCTTCATCTTCATATTCGTAACTTTCATCTATTTCATATTATTAGCCAATATTTTCTTATACTTTTTTTTAATTACTATTTTTAAAAATGAATTTATTAATTCATATTTATTTATTATATAAAATACTTTTTTTCTTATTCTTTTATTATATTTTAATATTAATTTTAATTTGTATATTGTTTTTCGTTTATTCTTGAATTTTCAGAATATTTATTATCCATTATATTTTGAGTTTATTATTTTTTATTTTATTTTTAGAAAATATGATTTTTAAATTCTTTTATAAATAAATAAAAATTAATTTAAATAAATAAAAATTATGAATACATTATAAATATAATACTAATATTAAAAAATACAAGGAAAAAAATAATTTTAAATACAGAAAAAAAAGAAAAAAAATTAATTTAGTATATTAAAAATTTTAATAAATAAATAATATAAAACAAAAATAAATAAAAATTATTTAATATAATATTTAAAATACAAAAAGAATAAAAATACATATTTAGAAAATATAAAATATATATAAATATATATATATATATACCTAATTTATAAATATATTACTTAAAAACTAGAAATAATAGATTTTTCATATTACAAAAGTCTTTAAAACTTAAAATTTAAGCAATTAAAGATCACTTAATCAGATAAGATTATAATATGATTAAGGTTGTCATATTTATATTCATTATGTTAAAAAGATTATTTTTCAGAAATAATGAAGACTAATATATTATGATTATTTAGTATTAATTATACCTCATTAAACATTTTTGAATATTTTAAAATCTCTTCATATAATATAAATATAAAGATGTTTTTTTTATTTTTTTGTAGTTAAAACAAGCAGAAATATATAAATAGAATTTATTAATTAAAGGAGTAATAAAAATGAAATAATTAATTTGGAGATTATTATTTAAACAAATAATATATATAGGAATTCGGATAAAATAAAATAAATTAAATGTCATATTGGATTATAAGGTGATAAAAAAAGTATCTGATATACATATGATAGCAAATTAAAAAGAATATCTAGATAAATAGAAATAATAAAGAAAAATAAAGAAATAATCTATTTTTAAAGGTGAAAAAAAGATAAAATAATTAAGGATTAAAAGTTCTTTTAATTAAAGTTAAAATAAATATTTTTAATTAAAAAATAATATTAATTAAGGAAATATATCTTTTAATTATAGATAAAACTATAATAAAAGAAAATTAATTAAAAATATTTATATAATTAAATAAATTAAATAAAAATATATATATTTAAAATAAAAAAATAAAAAAAATATATAAAATATATATATATATATTATATATATATATATAAAAAATATATATAAATATATTTTGATATATATAAATATATATAATTTCTTAAATATTTTTTTTTATATTTATATTTTTCTAATTTTTCTTATTAATAATTTATTTTTTAATTGTATAATTATTCTATTTTATTTTGATAGTTTTAAAATAATAAAAAAATCTATATATTATATAAAAATAAATTTATATTTTTTTTATCATACATCTCCTATTCCTTTATCACTTACTGTAATATCAACTTCTTTATCTTATAAATAAGGTGAATCTACAAGTCTATTTATTTATTTTATTTTTTGATAAAATTATAATTCTATACTTGATTTTCCTAATATTATCATTTTTCTTTCTCATAAATAACCTTTAAGTTGAACTATGTGCCAAAATATGTCCTCCAATCGGTTTTGGTTATGGTGGGGCTCCACCTGCCATTCCTCCAGAAGGATCTGCCATAACTTAATTAGTAATAACTACAGCAACATTAAATTCTGCAGCAACTCTTTATAATCTACTTAGAAATTTTCCCAAACTCTACTATCTTTCCGAAAGTTCACCTCTGCCTGAAAAATCACATCTAAAATTTGCCATGATAGAATCTACAATAATCAACGCAAAATTATTCTCCTCTACCATTATAGCAGCTGATTTAGTTAATAAAATCATTTATTAGTCTACTGTATATGCTCTCCCATAGACTATATTATTTAATGCCTCTTCACCTTCTATTCCATAAAAAGATGCTATTTAGCAAACTCTTTCAGGTCTAAAAGTACCTTCAGTATCTATATAGAGTATTTTTCCAGGTTCTAATATAATTTTTATATAATTTTATATAATAATATAAAATAATATATAAATAAATATAAATATATATATATATATATATATATATATATATATATATATAATATTATATTTTTTTACAAGAACAATGGTTTTCTAATTAAGCTAATACGCATAAAGTGTGTACTATTTAAGTTTTTCCTGTACGATATTCACCATAGAATTCTGTAATACTTTAAGATTCAATACCTCCGTTAAGTATTTCGTTTAAACTTTTCGAACCTGTAGATATTCTTTTTATTGAATTCCGTCTCTATAAAACTGCTGTTCCGAGTACAAATTCTGCTCCAAATAATTTATTTTGTTCAGATCGTGAAAGGATTTCTTATGCTTTTTTGCAATATAAGTCTACTTTTCCCTCAGAGACTCCATAGTTATTTACTAAGTCTTTTTTAGTGTTTAATAAAAGTTAGCGAAGAGTAAATATGCCACACTATTGATTTGTTTTTTTTTTATATTATTTTTAAATTTAACTTTTTTAAGTTTTTGAATGTCATTGTTATTTATACCTTCTGTAGAAAGTTCTTCAATTAATAAAATTTCTTCTTATTGTTATTTATGGTCTTAGTTTTCTTCTTAGGAATTCGCTTCTTCCATTATTTTTTTTAAGCTAAATTAAATATATTGTTTATATTAGTTGAAAAATTTAATTTAATAAAATTTAGTTATACATAATAGAAATTTTTATGTATATGTTAAAAAAGTAAGCTTAAACTAAAAAAATTAATTAAATAAATAATCTTAATATTTATATATTTAAAATTTAAAAAAAAAAAAAAAAAATCATAAAATAAATAAAATGATTTTAAAAATAAATATAAAAATTAAATAATTTAAATATTATAAAACAATTATTGATTTAAAAATAAATGAGCTCTTTTTATAAGAAAAAAACTATAAATAATAAATATATTATATGAAATATAAAATATAAATATATATATATATATAATTATTTATATATTTTTATTTTATATATATTTATCAACTAAATTAATTTTTAAATATTTTTTATTTTTTATTTTTTTATTTATAATAATTTTTTTTAAAAGACCAGAAAAATAAATTATTTAGTTCATAATTACTATTTAATAATAGATTTCCTATTAAATGTTTTATATATTAATATATTATCTTTCAAATTTTTTTATTATATAACTATGTATTGTAATTTTCGCTTATTTTTAAAAATAAATTTAAAGTATTTAATATTTTTTATTTTTTGCGCAATATAAAACAAGAATATTTTATATTTATTTTTAAAATTAAAATAAAAATATATTTAAATTTAAAATTAGAAGCACATTATAAAAAATTTTTTCAATTATAAAAATGAAAAAAATTATACCAAAAATAGATTTTTCGAAAAAGCGTACTTTTTAAGATTTCGAAAATACACAAAAAGTATATTTAAATGAAAATAATAATTAAAAAATTTAAGAAAACAAATTATAATGGCCAAAATACATGGGAACTTATAAATCAGAAGCAGTATTTTGTCCTGAAGATGGTTAAAACTTAAACTTTTAAACTTTTTCAAATTTAAAGCCTGGCGATTAATTAACATATTTTATGGAACCTTTAGATATTAGAAGAGGCCGATAAAAAATAATAAATTTCTATGATCATAATATAAAAATATATTTATAACATAGAGGATAAACAGTAATAAAAAAAAATGAATTATTTAAAAATATATATATAGATATATATAAAATATTTATTTATTATTATTGATTTAAAAAATTATTTACATTATATATTTAAAATAAAAAAAATAAAAATATTATTAACAAATTTAAAAAAATTATTGGGTTTTTAAAAAAATTAAAGATATTTAAATTAATATATTTATATATATATATATATATTTATATATTTTATATTTTAATATTTATTTATTTATTATTTTTTATAGGTAGGTTATATATCTCATTAATTTAAAGAAATATGGCCATTTTTATTATATAAGAAATATGTTAATTTAAAAATAAAAAATATAAAAGAAACTATAGAAAAGAAAAAAGAAGAATAAGATGAAAATATATTATTACATATATTAAATAATTCTATATTAGATCCCGAAGTAATATCATACTATAGATAAAATTTTGCTGAATTTTAAGAATTAGTTGAATTTCTTTAAAAAACTGGTAATTTAGAGCGAATTTATATTTAAAAAATAGATATATTTAATATAAATAATAATTTATAAAAAAATAGTCTTTAACTATAATAATAATAATAATTTGATATAATTTTTAACGATGATATGAATATAAATAGTATATAATTATAAAATATGGAAATATAAAATAATAATAATAATATGTATAAATCATATCCTTTATAATAATAAAAGAATAGTGTTCGAAATAATAAACAATATAAATAACACAAAAGTAAAACTGGCGACTTTTCTTTTGAGATTTTAATAGAAATCTATTTAGAAAAAAACATAATTGAAGATCCTATAAAAGATACAGAAATATGTGACAATTAATAAGATAATTAACACCAAGAGGAAATAAATAACCCCGAGTCCCTTACTTTTGAGGAATAATGGGATATAATATTTCAAAAATACCTAAAAGAAAGTATATCTAAGCTCTTTGAAATCCTTAAACTGAAAAGAAATATACACTCGTTAATAAAAAACACTATTTTTAGGCGTTTAAAGCATTTTAGACTTTATGAAAAGCGTATTTTCGTGCCTGAACTTGAGCTTTATATAGAAAAAGATGACAACGGGTATTTTTAGAATCTTATAGATGAATAATGTATTTAAAATAATTCATTTTCGGAATAATAAAATGATTATAATAATCAGTAATAATTAGCCGAAAAATTAAAGAATTAAATAAATGATAAAAATAACATTTCTTAATATTATATATAGACAGAAAGTCCTTCTAATATAAACGCGAAATTATTCGATTATTAAAAATAAGGACTTTCTTGGATGTTATATAGGGAAGGACATATTTAAAAAGAAGTCCTTTTTGGTTAAAATATAGAGAAATTGGAATAAGATAGAAAATTAAATACTCTTTTTGAAGAAATAGAGCTTCCTGATGGCTAGAAAATATACCATAATCAATTTAATGGATATATATCGGATATTTTTTAGTAAGAAAAATAAGTCAGAGGCGGTATTTTGGCTGATTAGATGGGTTTGGGGAAAACTTTGATGAGTATTTCCTTAATTTAATATGATTTGGAAAAAAATAGGAGGAAAAAGGGTCAATTGGGTACTTTAATTGTACTTACAGTAACCACTTTAGGTCAATGGAGGAATGAAATTGATAAATTTTCAGTTTAAGGCAGTGTTAAAGTCCTTTCTTTTTATGAAAAAAGAGATTCTATGGAAGGAAATATTGTAGATTATGATATTGTATTAACTACATACGGAGTTTTAGGTATTGAGTTTAAAAAAAAAGACAAAAGTATTATATTTAAAAATAATTGGCGAAGAGTAATACTAGATGAAGCATAAAAAATTAAATCTAAAGTAATCATAATGTATATATATATATATATATATATATATATATATATATATATATATATATATTTTTATATAAATATATATATATAATTATAATAATTATCTATATATATAGGAAAGTTAAGTCTCTGAAGCATGCTATTTTTTAAAAAGTGAATTCAAATGGGCTCTTACGGGTACTCCTTTAGAAAATAAGATTGATGATTTGTATTCTTTGTTTAAATTTTTAGAGGTTAACGCGTTTTCGGAATGGAGATTTTGGAAAAAATATGTGTCTTTGGGTAATAGTAGTGGTTAGTTTGGGATGAATACTGATGTTTTACATGCTTTATTGAAGCCAATTATATTAAGGAGATAGAAAGATTGTAAATATTAAGATGGTAAAGATATAATTAGTTTGCCGAAAAAGAATATTTATTTAACGAAAATTTAATTAGATAAAGGTGAAAAACGACTATATTAAATGATACATGATAAGAGTTAGAATATTTTTAATTAGTTAAACTAAGAAAAACTAATTGAAAAGAATTATATTCATGTGTTTTAAATTATTAATAAATTAAGACAATTATGTGTACATCCATCATTGGCTTTCCCGAATTTAAACGACTTAGATTTTAAAGAAGGAAACGAATAATAGATTGAAGATTAATTAGAGATTTTTTTTGGCAAATTCTAGAAACTTAAAGAAGACAATAATAACAAAAATAATAAAAATGTTTAAATATCAGAAAGCTATAAAAACTAATTAATTAATTAAATAAAAAATAAAGAATTCTAATAATGTCTAGTATGTTTTGAAGATATAATTATACATTCAATAAGTAAATGTGGACATGTTTTATGTAAAAATTGTTTTTAATATAGTATTTTATAAAATAAAAATTGTCCTATGTGTAGAACATCTTTAACATTAGAAGAATTGACTGAAATAATAATGTATAAAAATTAAAATAAAATATATATAAATATATGAATATTAATATTTATAAATATATACATATAATTATATATATATATTCTTTTATATATAAATACATATATTATTTATTTTTATATTTAATTATTTTTTTTTATATTAGAGAAGATGACGATTTTGTATAACCTAAAGAATACTTAGATTTTGATAAAGTTTCTGGATCTAAATTAAAGAAAATACTTGAATTAATAGATGAAATACATAATAAGAAGGAACAAGTGATTATATTTTCTTAATACGTTCGTATGTTATCAGTTTTAGAATATTAATTATGTAAAAAAGGAATTTCTTGTAGAAAATTGGACGGTAAAACATCTGCTAAAAATAAATCTGAAATCGTAAAGCTATTCACAAAAGAATTTTAAAATAAACTTCTTTTTTAAAAACCAACGGCACTTTTAGCTTCTCTTAAAGTGGCATCTGTTGGACTTAATCTAGTGGGTGCTAATAATGTTATTTTATGTGATCCTTGGTGGAATCCAGCTATTGAAGATCAGGCAGTGGAAAGAGTACATAGAATTGGATAAAATAAGGAAGTTTTTGTATGGAGAATCATTTGTGAAGATACTATTGAGGAAAGAATACATTAATTACATGAAGTCAAGAGGAAAATGATTAATAATGCACTTACTTTTAACAAAAATTAAAATTAAAATAATGCTATATAAGATCTTATTTATATTATGTAATGATTTATTAATTATTCCTTAATTATTTATATATAAATTTATTTATTTATTAATTGTTATTTATATTTTGATTTATTTATTTTTAAAAAAAAAAATATAAAATAATATTTTTTTTAAGATTATATTGTTAATTTTTTTTTTTTTTTCTTTCTAAGGTAATTATAAATATTATTTAAATTTTTATTTTTATTAATTAAATTAAAAAAAAAAATACACATATTAAAAAGATTAATTTATCTATTATCTTATTACAAAAAAATTATAATAAATTTATAAAATAAAAAAATGTATGAAGAATAAGAATAAAAGACAACTAATAAAATGTTATTTTTAAAAAAATAAACATTAATAAAAATTTAATATTAAATATAATTAAATTAAAAATAATAAAATAAAAAAAAATATAAATAGTATTAAAAAAAGTAAAAAATAAAATAAAAAATAAGGTTAAAAAATTTTATACATAAATATATATATATATATATATATATATATATATCATATATATATAAATATTTATATATTATATATTATAATATATTTATACTTTTTAATATAATATCTTTTTAACACGATTTTATTATATTTTTATTTATTATATATTTTTATTAGTTTTTAGATTTGTTTTTTTTATTTTTAACTTAATATTTATTTATAACTTTTTAATTTTTTATACTATAATTTTTATTTTATTTTTAAATAAATTTATTTTAATTAAATATAATAATATTTAATGTATTCAAAATTTCATTTTAAAATTAATTTTTTATTGTTTTTAAAGTTCATTATAATTTAAAATAAATATTTGTTAGAAAATATTTATATTAAAATTATATTCAAAAAAAAAAAAAAAAAAAATGGAAAATATAAATGTTATATTAAGAATTCGACCATTAAATGAAAAAGAAATTAAAATTTAAGAAAAGCCTGCATTTGAAATAACTGATCCTTTTACAATATAAATAATACCTGAAAATGCCGTAAAAACTACATTCATATTATATATTAAAGATTATAATAAAAAAAGATAAATAAAAATTTAATCTAATCCGGTTAATAATTAACATTTAAATACGACAAATGCTTTAATGAAAATATCACAAATTAAATTTTATTTCAAGACTGTGTAGAATCGATTATTAATTCAAGTTTAAATGGGGTAAACGGAACTGTTTTTATGTATGGATAAAGCGGTAGTGGTAAAACATACACTATGATGGGTTATGAAAAGAAAAATACACCCCCATAATCAAATAAAAAAGCAAAGATGAATCAATATGATTATTATTCTTAAAGTCCTATATAAAACAATAATAGATAAAATTACTAAGGTAAAATACATATATATATATATATATTTATATATAATAATTATTAGATATAGACGATATCGATTTTGATAAAATAAATACACAAACTCCAGATGATAATAAAGGGATTTTATATTTATCTTTAAAACATATATTTAATACGATATCTAATGTATTTTTATTTTAATAAATGATTAAATATATATATATTTATATTTAAAGAATAAAGACAAAGCATATGTAGTTAAATGTAGTTATTTAGAAATATACAACGATTAAATACATGATCTATTAAGTCATGTTTAGAAATTAAATGAATTATTATAAATAGGAATGAATTAAAATAAAGAATTCTATATAAAAGGTGTCACTGAATTAAGTATTAGTAATTTCAATGAGGCCTTAGAGGTATTAAAAATGGGAGAAAATAATAAGCATTATGCATAAACAACTATGAATCATAATAGTAGTCGATCACATAGCATTTTTAAGGTAAATGTATAAAGTATTATGGTAAAAAAAGAAAAATATGGAATAAATAATTAATCAACTGTTATTTAATCTTCAGAATTAAATTTTATTGATTTAGCAGGTAGTGAAAAACTATCTAATCACTAAAATATTGAAGAGTTTTTATTAAATTCAGCACAAAAAAATCAGTATGTTAAATTTTTATTAATGAATATTTATTTTTATTTTAAAGGAATTTATCACCATAAGATACTATTAAAGATAGAATTAAAGAAGGATAATACATAAATAAGTCATTGTTTTTTTTGACTTAAGTGATTTCATAAATTGCAGAAGGAAAACCAATTATACATATTCCATATAGAAATTCTCCTTTAACAAAAATATTAAAGTATTAAATATATATAAAAAATAATATGCAATATATAAAATATGTATATAATACATTATATATATAAATATGTATGTATATATATATATATATATATATATATATATATATATAATTATAAATATATATATATTTATATATACTAATATTTAGATATTTATTTAGATATATTCTTTATATATAAAATTAGAAGCAGTTTAGGTGGTAATTCAAGAACTATGATTATTTTATGTATTACATGTGCTTAGAGTTAATTTGAATAAACTTTATCTACTATAAGATTTGGTTTAAATGCTAAAAAAATCGAAAATAAAGTATATATTTATTCATTATATATATTAATATTATTAATAATTTATATTTTAGATAAAAATAAATATTTAAACAAAAAATAACGAAGAGGCTTTACAATTATTAATATAAGAATATGAAAAAAAAATCCGAGAATTAGAACAATAAAAACAAGAAGAGAAATTGAAAAATATAGAAAGTTTAAAAAGACTAGGAGAAGTTTTATAAGAAAAATAAATTTTAGAAGGAAAAATAAAAAATTAGATTAATAATATTTTTTTCAAAAAGAATAAACATTATTATAAAAAAATGAAAATTTTATTATTTGTAATAATTGTAAATAAAAAACAGATAATTAAAAATTCAATTTTCATCATTTTCATTAAGATTTTGTTGGTATTTTGTTCTAAACTTCAAATAATTTAGGTGTAAATGATGTCAATATAGATTTAAAAAGAAATTGGTAGCAATTAATTTTCGATTATGAGGGAAAATATGCATTTTATAAATATTAGAACATCAAAAAAATGCTTGATTAAATATAAATATAGCTAAATTAAAATTTTGAAATGCTTTTTTAACATCATATATAGCTATTTTAAGGTTAAAATATGAATTTTTTGTGCAATATAGGCGATAATGACCTTGAAAAAATGGAAAATAATAGTTTGAAGTAATATTAGAATATAATAAAGGAGAAATAGAGACGAATTTTGATAAAATAAATACATTAAAAGAATATAAATACAGATTTTTTTATAAAAAAGAGGAGATAAATTTAATGGAAAATATAATAAAAAATGAACAAAAAATACTTAGAAATTTATTTTTTATGAATATAGATTTTAATATGTAAAAAATAAATTAAAATAATTTAGAAGAATTAGATTTTTTCCATTTAAAGAATTTTTGTGTTTTATAAAAAAACTACTCACATTTAAATCTATATTAAGAAAAAAAAAAAATATTAATTTTAATACGCCTTAAAAAAATAATTATAGTAGCGATTTTTTAGAAAAAAAAGAAGAATTATCTAATAGTCTAAAATATCACTAAAATCCAATACCATTTTAATAAGAAATAGAAATAATGCAAAATTATGAAAAACTTAAAAATACAAGTTATATTTCTGATGGATTATCTATACTTTCTAATAATAATTCTACTAATAGATTGAATTCAAATAAATAAATTATGAATGAAGATAATAATAATAGGTCGTTAAATAATAATAACAGTAGAATATAAGCAAATTTAGGAAATTAAAAGTAAATATAAATTATAAATAATGAACATTAATTATAGTTTAATCAGTATTTATAATAAAGTAATCAGTAAATTATATAATAAAAGAAAAGACATTCTTTAGGAGCAGCTTTAAATTGTTAAAATTAAAAAAAGCTAAATAATAATTAAAAATAATAAAGCTTATATGCTTAAAATAATATTAATAAATATAATAATAATAATAATGATTATAATAGTATTACTAATAATAATAATAATAATAATAATAATAATAATAATAATAATAATAATAATTATAATAATAATAATTATAATAATAATAATAAATATTATAATTATAATACTAATAATACAAATAATGTATCAAAAAAAAATTCTATTAGTATTATTAATATTGATATTTGCAATTAAAATAAAATTATAAATTGTGAAAAATAAATAGTTAATAAATAATTACCTTTAATGGATTAAAATTATATTAACATTTAGAATAATAAATCTACAATTTAATTTAATAAATCTAATAATAATTAAATTAATAATAATAAAAATTAATATTACAGTACTTATTTAAACAATAATTAATTTAATAATAATTATTTTAATAATAATAATGAAAATTAATTATATTTTTAATATAAAAATTGATAAAAATATTATAATAATTATTTATTAAATATTATATTTATTTAATTCATATATTAAAACAAAAATAATTAAAAAAATATTTATATAAATACATATATCATAATTTAATCATCTTTACTATTAACTTTATAATATAGCTTCTTGTAATTCTAAATCATCGATTTAATTTTATAATTAATCACCATTTTATACTTATTATTATTATTATTCAAAATAACATGTTTATATTTTTTATTATTATAAATTTTATTTTTATTATTATTATTAATCCTCATTTTCTAGATATTCATCATTAAAATAATGATAATCATCATTATAATCATAATCTTCATCCAAATTTTAATTTTTTTATATTAATTATTATTATTATTGTTATTAATATTATTATTATTATTTTTTTAAGGCGAATATTCTTTCATCATTTCTTCTGCTATTTTTCTATCTTATTCTTCTTATATTTTTTTTAATTCTTCGAAATCTCCTAATTATGTTGCCATTTTTATCTTTTCTTATAAAATTTTATCTATATTATTCTATTACTATGTATTTTATTCTATTTCTTTTAAATCTGGAAACAATTTATTGTTATCTTTGCAATTCAAAAAATGCTATTCAAAATCAAATAAGCATATATTCTTATAACATAATCCACATTCTTATGTTCTAGACCCACATTATATATAATGTTCATCATATTAATCTGAATATACCTATAAATTACAAAAAATACATAATTTAGGTAATTCATGACAGTCTTTTTATTCATGATTTTTAATTTCTAGTTATGAAAACTCACCTTTGCAGTATTTACATACAATTTTTTATGTGTTTGGTCTATATGTGTCTAACATTTCACGTTTATCTATAAATTCTAGACATTAGTTGCATTTTATAAAGTTACGGACGCAATATGATTCATGCAAATTGATTTTACTATCAATAAAATACTTTTTACAGTTAGAACATTAAGTTTAACTTTCATTTTCGGTATACATTTTTTTTTTTATTTTATATCAAGAAATAAATTTATTTATGGAATAATATATAAAAAATAAATAAAAATAGTACGTATATATATATATATATATATATATGATTAGAAAATATTAAAATATTTATATTGTTAATACTATAAATTTTAATTATTTTATATATATATTATTAAATATTTGTATTTAATATATATATATTTATATATATATATTATATATTTATAATTTTTAGATTTTTTACAATAGATAGTATAAAAATATTATCAGGTTATACAAATTTTTAAAAACTATAAAATATCAAACTATTATTTTTTATATTATATAAAATAAAAATATATAGTATTTTTTTTTTTAAGCCTATAAAATAAAATATTTTTTTAATTAAAAATTAATTTAAATAATTTATTTACAACAAAGAATTTATTTTTATATATATATAAATAAAATTATTATATTATTTTTATTTTTTTTGATTTTAAAAATCATTCAAAAATTAAACCCATAATTATTATCTAAAACTTAATCGCCTCTTTATATATTAACAAATTTGAAATTATTTTTTTATTCATTACTAAATTTTTCAATATTTAATACATTTTCATTATCTTAAATATCATAATCATATTATTAATTTAAAATTTTTTTATTCTACGTATACATATTTTCATATTCTCTTAAAGTATACCTTGAATGATTCAAATCATTATTATTTTGATTATTATCCATTACATCTTTAGCATTTACTAACTTAATATTACCTAATACATTATTTTCAGTTTAAAAAATTACTACATTCCCCTTATAAAAATCACTATTAGCCAATATACCTTCTCTAAAAATTTAAACTTATTATTCTTTGTTACTTTCTTCTTCTTCCTCTTCTATTTTTTTGAAATTTTTTCCGTTTTTACACTCTTCGCATTTACAGTTTTCATTACATTATTTTCCTTAATTAAAGCATTCGCAATATTTTTTTTTGCAGCCACTTTTTTTACACGAACAACCTTTTGTTTATTAACATTTTTCCTAAAAAATAAAGGCTTATGGGTTTTTAAAGAGTACATTTTATATAGTTTATTGTCTTATTTCTTCATTTTCTGTATTATTTTAACACTCATTACATTTGCAATATATATTACATTTTTGCCCCTTTTAAAAACAAAAACAATATAATTTTAAACATTTAGATTTAGTGCAATTACAGTATAAAATTTATTCTTTTTCTTCTTGTTTTTATATATTTTCTTCTTCTTATATTATTTCTTCGTCATTAAAATTATTGTTTTCAATATCTTCTTCAAATTATTTTTATAGGAATTTTTATTAATCATAGTCAAAAGCCGGAAAACTTATTCTATTTTCAGAATTTTTACTTTAATTAGATATTCTTTTTTATGTATTACGATTATTTTATGAATTTCTGTCAATTATAATATTTAATTTATTATTATTAGGGTAATTTAAATATTATTAATCATTATTTATTTACAAATCATTCGAAAAATTATTTAAATGATTATTTTTTTCTTACTATAATTGCATTATTTACCTTATATAACTTGAATTTTGGTTTAAATTATTTTCCCATATAATGTTCGAGTTTCTTTCATTTTCTTATAAAATACTTATATTATTACTTCCTATATTACTTATATTTTAATTAAATGAAAATCTATCATTATTTTTATAGTTATCGTCTAATAATACATCAAATTAGTTATTTGGAAAAAGTTATTGGCTTAAACTTTCTATAGAATATTTTTCTGTAGAATTAAGATTAAGTAAATTTTTTTAAAATTAAGATAAATTATTATCAGAATCTTATAATTTATTTTAAATACTCATTTTTTATATAATTATATAGTTGAGATTATTAGTTAATTTTTTTTTTTTATAATTTTACTTAATAAATATATAATATTTTTATTAATTATTATTAAATATGATATATATTAAAATCACTATTATATTTTTGAAAAAATCAAATTTAATAATTATTAATTTATATAATATATATATATATATATATATATATATATATATATTATATTATATTATTTGTTTATATAAAAAAATAGATAAAATAAATTATTAAAAAAAAATATAAATATAAATATTAATCAATGTATATAAAT